ATAGGCATTAAAACTGCAATGATAAGAAAAGTTGTTGAGCACTTTTAAGTGCTATTTGTATCACTGGCAAATTTCCCTCATTCTCTGGTGTGCTAGTGGGCTATGCTTGGCTCACGTGCTAGATATTTTCAGGTAGCTTGCAAACTTCTAAGTCTTGACTCTAATTTTTCACATTTGACAAAGCCATTTAAAAATGCTTCTGCCATCTAGCTACGGGGGCAGAATATGTCTCTCAGTTTGGTATAAAGGATTGGCATCTGCTTTGCTTGCATCAATTTTTTTTATGTTTGATAAGCTTGAAGCATTATCCCGTTCATATTTTTGCTCCAGCCATATGGGAGGACGTACCAGGTGTTACAGGGCATAGTTTAGATAGTGAGTTGTAAGTTGGTGTTGTGTTTGTCTTGTCCAGGCCCAACTTGATCTGCCTAATTGAGGCTCATGAACAGTTGGCAGTTCGGTAGTCAATAATGCTGACTGATTACTGCAGTTCTTTGTGGTAGATAGCCATAAACTGAGCCGATAGAATTTTATGCTTGTAATTTTACACTAGACACATTCATGTACAGTTTATTAACAAACGTCTGTTAGGGATGTAAATGATTTAGTGTTTGCATGATTAAATGTAAGGATTCCTTTGTAGCTTGCATTTTTCTGTAAACATTCAAACAACCATACACCCCCACACAAATCCCGAGAAAGTGAGCAGGGCTGTTGCCCAGCAGGGCTTCTGGTTCTTGGGTGGTCCCTGCCTTGATCTCTTTTTGGTGGGAGCTGCAACTGCTGCTGGAGGATCTCCAGGCTCTTGTTAGTGGGCTTTCCTCTACCTTGGTCATTGTTTGTGGCCTCCTCCATTGCCCCTGTCTACCTTTGGCCATGCCTATCTCACTCTTTTGCCCATAGGCACCCTGGGGTATGAAGAGAAGCATTTCACTTCCTCCTGGTTAGCCTGGACAGCTGCTGGGTTCACAGGGAGGTGGCTGAGGTCACCAGACTGGGCGCAAAGAGCCACTGTTTCCATTACCCTCCCCTCCTCCATGAGCTGAGCTCCCTGGGGGAGTGTAAGCCACCGTCCTTTCACTGAGCCCAGCTTGCTCTTGTTGAAGTGGTGGAGGGATTTTGCTACCTATGTGGCTCCATGAGCCCAGATTGTTCTCCTTACTCATTGCTGCTGGACTCTGTGGAGGAGTTAGAAAGTAGAAGTATGTATGTGGGGCTTGGATCGCTTGTGAGCTGGTTAATGTTTATGTGTTTAAATGATATTTTGGGTAGTTTAAATGGTTGCTTTATTAAATGACATCTGTAGCCCTAACAACTGTGATTTCTGAATACGTCTTGAGTATCCTTTCAACAAAATCTTCCAGTCTAAAAGAAAATATATATAATGTATTTCTAGAAGGAAATTTTGATGTTTCATATACTGAATTGTGTCCTAGTTCATGTTGATCAAACAGATGAAAGTAGCCATGAATGTGGTATGTGAGTTACGTCCTGACAGTTAGATGAATATGTGGCTTTTGAATCAACTATTTAAGCCAAGTAAGTCAGAATGGAGCAGTGCATAGCTCAGCTGTACAGCTTATTTATCTCATGGTCTGGAGGGAGTCCTTTGGCTGCTGGTACTTTAGTTTGAGTAGGATTAGTGAAACTAAATGGTGTGGTTGGTTACCAAATGGAAGATCACTAGGAATTCCAAGTAAGCTAGTCTGTATGCTTTCTAAAGAATAAAGCCGTTATGTAAGAGTACGAGTAGAAATCGTATTTCACCACAAAGCAAATTTCCTTACAGTAGAAAAAGTGCATCAAGCAAACAATTTTGTTTTTCATTTCTTCTTAATATTTTCAGTTCTTCTTAATATCTACATTATCTGCTTAAAGACTTATCAATGAGTTCTTTTAAAGGGCAAATACATACTCTTTTTGTTAAAGGAAGCATCAAATGTTGTAGAGAAAGAACTGCGCAGGGAAGTCGAAGACTTGAAGCTCCGCCTGCAGATGGCTGCTGAACATTACAAGGAAAAATTTAAGGAATGTCAGAAGCTGCAGAAGCAAATCAATAAACTTGTAGACCAGACAGTAAGTTGCATTTTTGAATGTCTATGCTCCTGATAATCTTCATAAAACCAGTTAGTTACATTGTGAGGTGTAAAGGATTTTCCAAAAGGGAAAGATATGCTATACTTTGTAGCAGAATGTCTAGTTTTAATAAAAGCTGAACAAATACAGGTTTTGTTCAAAGTGTTTTGTGAAGCCCCCCAAATTTAGCCTTGAGGCAGTGATGTTACAATGAAAATGGAAGACAGACGTACAACAACAAAACTAGGTCTGCCCATGTAATGTCATCTATTTATATTTGCAACTTCTTGATGACCCTTATCCAGAACTCTAGTACCTTAATGGTACCATAATGTCATTGTCTTCTGGTTATGTGCATTTATTGTGATGTCTGCTGAAGTATCAGATGCTATGAAAAGGCAGACATACTGTTTTCTGAAAATGTTATAATAATAAAATATTCTGGAATGGTGAAAATGGTAATGGGATGTTCTTTTAAGCTATTTATAACAAATGATCACAGTAACTTGTCTACTTTGGAGAGGTAGTCAAGAATGGTTGAATTTCTGTGCACAGGGCTTAAATCTACTATCACAAGACTGTGTCTCCGCCCCCCAGGTCTCTCCCCTCTCCCCAGAGATCACTGAAATTTTTGAACCCATAGTTTGTGGGGAGAGTGTTTCTTAGCCTACTAAACTATTTGGTGAATGTCTGTCAGGTAAATAGACAGTTGAGGGGAAGGAGGTTGGCTATCCACACTCTGGAGCCTTGAGTTATGACCAGAGTGTTTGAGAAAAGCCTAGTAATAACTATGAGGAAAATAACATCTCTGGTAGTCTTGATCAAATGAGAGACTTGCTGCAGGTAGGACTTCGTTTATGCAGAAATGTCCATTGCATAAACTTGCTCAGCATCTGTGGCTCCCTGCATGGACTTCCCCTCCCCCCATACTCTAGGTGCTTTTCTTGATCCTGTAATTAGTATCCTAATAGGAAACCTAGTTTGTCTGTATAAGGCTAGCCCAGTCTCATCAGATCTTGGAAGCTAAGCAGGGTTGGCCGTGGGCAGTATTTGAATGGGAGAAGAATGCCCGGGTAGTGACATGGGGGCAGGCAATAGCAAACTGCCTCTGAACATCTCTTGCCTTGAAAACCCTACTGAGTTGCCATACGTCAGCTGTGATTTGATGGCAAAAAAGGGGGATACAGTGGAATCACTGACAAACCTCTTTCAGAAACTTTGCCACATCTCTTTGCCCAATAAACTTGTTGTCTTTCTAATGCCTTAGTTATTTAATGCAGCTTAGTTACTTTAGGGCCTTCTTTCTTCCTCAGTTTCCATTTCCCCCCCTCTAATGGTATGACTGTATAGAGGGAAGCTAAAAGGTTTCCTTAAGTATTCCACAGGTTTTAAACAGCTGAAGTTCTAGATATGTAAGACAGGGCAACTCTTCACTTTTTGATATCAAGATTTTTAAGCCATGGCTCTTGCAAAGGAGCATAGGAGTGCATCCATTTCTGATTTCCTTTTCATCAAGAAGGGAAACTAGAAGTGCAGATACAGTTTCCCCTTGTTTTTAGGGAAATGTAATTACCAAAGGAACACTTGGGTTTGGTTTTCAGAACAGATGGAAGAGTATTTTAATACTTTTCTAATCAGTGCTAGTGGGTTCATGAACTCCCAAACCAGATGTTATGTGAGGAACACATATTTGTTTATAGTTACTTTGTATAAGAAAACAGTAAATTTGTTTATAGTAACTTTGTATAAGAAAATGTGACTCTTCAGAAATTGAATTGTTTGATCCATAAAATATGTACCTTGCATATGTTTAGGGCTTGGACTCTTTTTTGTTTTGCATAACTAGAACATAATAGTGTATAGCAATGGTTTGTACTCATCTTTAGTGTCATTTTTTTAATAAAGAGTATTGCAGGGAAGCAGCAGAATTTAACAGATGGCTCAAATAGTGCAACTCCTGCGGTCGAGACTGGAGGTGAAAAGTTGTCTGCCTCTCAAGGTATCAACTGTTTCTGGCTGACTTTCAAAAACCAGACAGTCTATCAATACTAGAGGGGGGGGGGGAGAACCAAATGATCACATTCAGCTTTTGCTTTCCCCCTTCCACTGTGAGTCCCCTTACCTGAAACGCTGAAGTGGAAACAGAGCCTGATGGAGCTAGGGTGGCAGTCAAGTGATTCTGTGGAACCTATTTGCTGTGCAAGGGGAAAAAATCAGTGGTCTGGCAACCCAGGGGTTTCATGTGCATGCTCAAGCTTAACTGGATACCTGTATTTGTGTTCAAATGTATATCTGTAGTCAGATAGAAGCAAGCAGGAAACAGCATATTATACCATCCATAAATCAGCAGTAGTCATGCTAGTAAAATTTATTTTACTGTGTTTGAAGTATTTAGCTCATTTCTGTTTCTGTCCAGTGTGTGGACTGTAACATACTAGTAGGTTCAGTCTAAAATATGTCAGCCTTTTAGATACCAGTAGTCTAGAAGATGTCTTGCTTCACAGTCAGAGTTCTTAGTGAGTGTAAGCTTCTAGTGTTCAAGTGGTTAAGACGCTGAACTGCAGGCTGTGGAAGGTCAGTAGTTCAGCAGTTCGAGACCCGGGTGCCGCATGATGGAGTGAGCTCCCATCTCTAGTTCCAGCTCCTGCCAACCTAGCAGTTTGAAAGCAAGAAATTGCAAGTAGATAAATAGGTACCACTTCGGTGGGAAGGCAACAGCGTTCCGTGCGCCTCGATGTTTAGTCATGCCGGCCACATGACCACGGAAATGTCTTCAGACAGCGCTGTCTCTTCGGCTTTGAAACGGAGATGAGCACCGCAACCCTAGAGTTGGATTCGACTGGCTTTCGAGCAAGGGAACCTTTACCTTTTTAGTCTAGAAGATGTCTTGCTTCACAGTCAGAGTTCTTAGCGAGTGTAAGCTTCTAGTGCTGCAGCGCGAGGGTTGGCAACATATGACACTTAGGACACATTTAGTATGCCAAGGCTTCCCCATGTATTTGGCAAAGTATGCTGGATTTTCACCCTGTTGCTCTCTGCCAAGCTCCGGGTGGGTGAGGCTGGATGAGGATTTTAGGGCTGGATTGAGACTTTGACCAAATGCAGCTTGCAAAATTTACATTGACTGCTCTGACTTAATGTATTAGATAAAGTCTATGTCCTGTGGTGTATATTGTGCTGTTTAATTGTATAAATGTGGCTTTTCTTTCTTAGTATTTCACAGAATAATAAGTAACATGAATTTGCAGAAGTTAATGGGGAAAGTGGCATGAATACAAAATGTCCTAAGAGGTTGTAGGGAACTGTCTTAATTTAGTTAAACAAGGGGACATTTCTATATATAAGAAAAGAGCATGACTAATTCTCTTTTTCTTAAAATGAAGGCAGTTGATGACATGCCCCCTGAAATGGGAGTTCTTAACATACTGACTGTTTGCTTAAATCCTCTCGTGTGTCTTGGCATCCAACCATTGTTTTGTATATGGGCCATCCTGGAAATTTTCAGTGCGGTTGTACAAAAGCAAAGTGTAGCTATCCACAACTGAAATGTGGCCTGTTCAAGCTTGTTTCTGCTTAGCTTATTGAAGAGCACAAAAGAGAAGTCTCTTGGAAGTTGGGCATACGTTCCCACTGAGTGAACCAGGTAGCTGCTTGTGGTTTCTGTACCAATCTGGTCGCCTCAACATAAATAGTAATTAAAAAATTACTATATTTCTTCAATATCTATATAGTTAGCCCCATTCCATCTGTTACAGTTTTGGAGTTTTCAGAAAAGGAGCAAGATCATGACAAGAAAAAAGAAACTGCTGAAAAAGCAGAGAAGTATATGAAATGCAAGGAGATGTCTGTAAGTAAGAGGCTACTATAGAAGCAAGAATTAGTATTAGAGAATAATTGCAAAAGTATACTTCACATTAACCTGTCTAGAAAAGCTGCTGTAATGTATAATAGTTTAGTTAATTTTAAAGTCCGTAGTCTCAGTTCAATTAAAGTTAGTTCTAAGTCATATTGAAAACAGTGGGGCTTCAGTCTGTTGCAGCAAGTAAGTTTAATTGGTTTAGATGCAAAAGTTAGTCATAACTAGGTTCTATCTTGGAAGAATTTGGGGGAGGGGATTTGCATTGTTTAGAATACTTGATTTGGAATGAAGCTTGAATATGAATGTTGTACAAAGCAAATAAGAAACAAGAATAGCCAGATGAAATACTGGGTTTTTTTGTAAGTAGATGGGAGCTTTATTTACATTTACATAAATGAAATTCTTCATTTGGTATTGCTGAACAGTACTGTTTCTCCAAAAATCGTGTGCCAACATCTATATGTATTATTCCTCTGGAAGTGGCTGTCATTCTGGTACATAAGTGGTTCTGTTCCACATTGAACCTAAAGAGGCATTATGTTTGGTCTTCTGGATGAAGGGTGTTCTAAGTAGTTGCAAAGCTTAATGGAATGAGTACATGGTGACACCCCCCCACACACACACACAGCTGCTTTTCTGGGGTGAGAACAATGGCAGCATATCAAAATAATTGCACAGACTACTGAATAATCTGAAATATTTTTTTCACTGCTTTACTTCTTTATCTTAGCCAGTAAATGGGAGTTGGCTTGATTAGGTAGTCAACAGGAAGCTGGCAGGTGGCAGTTCTTTGAAACAGCTGTGCTGCACATGAACCAGCCTAAGTCTGTACATTTATAGAAGAATTGATAGTTGATAATTTTATTTATAGGATGAAAAATTGAAATGCAGTGTCTATGCTGATGAATTAGCTAAGTTGGAGCTAAAGTGGAAGGAGCAAGTGAAAATTAATGAGAGTATGAAGCAACAGCTAGCTGCAGTGGAAGACCAATACCTAGTAAGTTTGACTCTTACTTTAATATTAACACTTTTAATTGAACCTATTTAATTACATACAGTAATAAAAGATCTGCCTCCTCTCGTAACTCAGGTTTATGTTACTACTGCTTAAATCAATACTGCTCAATTAGAAGTTACTCTTGCCTTGCTGAGCTCGAGAAGTAATTACTCACTTCATGGAATAGTTCTTTTAAGTCAAATGTCTATTGTGCATTAGCTCTCCTGGAACACTCCCAAACTGAACTTACCTAGTCCTTTGATGTCTATAGTGCCCTATGAGGCAGAGAAAGGCTTATAATTTTAGGCTCTGTTCAGATGTGGTTTAACGAACTGGGATTCTATCTTGCCCAGAACTAGGATTCAAAATCAGGGTTTAGAATTTCAATGTGAGGACGAGAAATAAGCATGAATTCAGACATCACAACAAATTGTGGCTAGGTTAAAGACTTATTAAAACAATATTGGATCTGTGCACAGCAAGGGGGATGTAGGGAAGAGACTAGCAAGGACATGAGCTCACCAGGCTGGAGCTCATCATGAATAAACCAGAGTTTGTGATGTCTGAATTTTAAAAAGTGTGGATTGCTCTGAGTTTGAGGTCAGGACTTTGTTCATCAAATATGAACCCTGGTCAGTTTTCCAGTTGATACCAATTTTGTTCACACAACGGCACTTTTAGTTCAGCTATATATAGGCTAAGAAACTATAGATGTGCACAGTCCTGTGTCAGCTGTTGCTCCACTCCAGCTGGATTCTTGATAGTGTATGGTAGTGGTCTTTAACCTTTCTAAATGTGGGACCATGAGTCTGCAAGCATATTATAAGGAGTCATGTGACAGGAAGAAGAGGGGCCAGAGTTGTGATCTTGCCATTGGTTAAGGACCATTTTTGAAATGAACTTTTCCACTGCTTTTTAACTTGTTTATTAATGATTTGGAGATGGGAGTAAGCGGTGAAGTGGCTAAATTTGCGGATGATACGAAGTTGTTCAGGGTGGTGAAAACCATTGAGGATTGTGAGGCACTCCAAAGGGATCTGTCAAGGATGGGCGAGTGGGCGTCAACATGGCAAATGGGGTTCAATGTGGCCAAGTGCGAGGTGATGCACATTGGAGCCAAAACTCCTAAATATAAATACACGTTGATGGGGTCTGAACTGGCAGAGACTGATCAAGAGAGAGATCTTGGAGTTGTAGTAGATAACTCACTGAAAATGTCGAGACTGTGTGTGACTGCAATAAAGAAGGCCAATGCTATGCTGGGGATTATGAGGAAGGGTATTGAAAACAGATCAGCCAATATCATAATGCCCCTATATAAATCAATGGTGCGACCTCATCTGGAATACTGTGTGCAATTCTGGTCACCACACCTTAAAAAGGATATTATAGCTTTGGAAAAAGTGCAGAAAAGGGCAACTCGAATGATAAAAGGGTTGGAACACTTTCCCTATGAGGAAAGGTTAAAGCGTTTAGGGCTCTTTAGCTTGGAGAACAGACGACTGAGGGGTGACATGATCGAGGTTTATAAGATTATGCATGGGAAAGAGCAGGTAGAGAAAGAGGTACTTTTCTCCCTTTCTCACAATACAAGAACTCGTGGGCACTCCATGAAACTGCAGAGCAGTCGGGTTAGAATGGATAAAAGGAAGTACTTCTTCACCCAAAGAGTGATTAACACATGGAATTCACTGCCACAGGAAGTGGTGGCGGCTACAGGCATGGACGGCTTCAAAAGGGAATTAGATAAGCATATGGAACAGAGGTCCATCAGTGGCTATGAGCCACAAGGTATAGATAGGGGCTCTGGGGCAAGTGATGCTCTGTCTTCTTGGTGCTTGGGGGGGGGGTCAACAGTGGGAGGGCTTCTAATGTCCTGGCCCCACTGGTGGACCTCCTGATGGCACTGGTATTTCTGGCCACTGTGTGACACAGAGTGTTGGACTGGATGGGCCTTTGGCCTGATCCAACATTGGCGTCTCTTATGTTCTTAAAATGGTTGTGAAAGCAATGTCATTGCTCTTTGTACAAGAGAGGCAGTTTTCCAGCAGGAGAACTATGGTCTTATGCAGCAGAACTATAATCTTATGCAGCAAGGAACATTAAAAACCTGAAAAATCCTTTTATTAGGTTAACTTCAGTATTCATTATAATTAAAATACTGTTACATCATGTTCATTTGTTGAACAATTAAATGCATGTGAATTGTAACTATATGTAGAAAATGTTTAATGTTCACTAACATGGTTGCTGTTTTGAACTTGTGTTTTAAATAGGTTCAGTTGGCAGAAAAGGACAGACAGATAAATGAGCTGACATCCCATTTGGGAATCCTTAGCAGTGGGAAGGTACTGAATAATTGCTGCATATTAGTGAACCACTAAAATCAAATTTATGTCGATGTATTCCTTCAGATGCTGCTTGAGTGCAAACAAAGAACTTGTGGCACAGCTGCTTGAATTTTAGAATATGAATGGTGGGTAAGAGTGGAACATACCGTGGGAGATCCTTAAAGATGAACTTGATTAACATATGTTCAAGCACTGGTACTCTCCTGTGGAACATGCAAAAAGTGCAAACGTTGGCATTACGCCCACGCAAAACCTAGCTTAATACTCCTATTATCCACAAGCCAAACTGCAATAATCAAATTACTGTGTGCATTTTTAGAAAAGGGTACATCTTGTTAGATTTCAAAGTCAGTTGGAAACTGGAGAAGAATAAATTAATAAAAGTTCAGCCCAGAGGTAGTTAAGCACACCTAAATCGCATTGAAATAATTGTGATGAGCCTGGTTCTTATAGGTAAAGGACAACATCAAAAGGCAGAATATCAAGTGAGGACTTCAGCTCATAGAGATGTGTCGTGGTCTCTTTGTGATGCTACTTTGCTCCACATGTGCTGAAATGTTCAGATATGCAGATGGGGCTCTTTGAAGTCTGACCTAATTTTCCAAGAACTCCTTTAAAAATATTTTTTCATAAGGAAATTAGTTATTTAATGTTAAACAACTAATGAGGATCTATGTTAAGTCTTTTAACCAAGGTTTAAAGTAGAATGTAGATCAGATTACTATATAAATAACCTTTTATCATGCCTGTAAACTGACCTGTTTAGGATTACAGAAAAATCAAAGGTTCTATAATCTGTATGCTTAATATATGTTGTTAGATAATTTTATATTTTTAACAAGAACAAAAGTACCAGTGCAGTGAAGCTGTTAATGTTGGACTAGGAACAGGGAAATTCAGGTTCTAATTTCCACCCAGCCAAGAACAGCTCTGGATGATAGGCCAATCACATGTTTTCAGCCTGACACACTTTACAGAGCATACGATAGAGAAGGCAGTCCTTGGAGAAGGGGCAAGAGAAAAAACATAACATGTTAGATGGATAGAAATGAACATTTTTAGCATCCTTGATGGGGCGAAATTTATGAACAAGTGCTGATAATGAGGTAAAGGTTGTGTATGGTATTTGAACCTTTTGAAAGCACAAAATATATAAATACATCAGAGCCTTTACAGTGCAGTCTCATTTTTTAAAGTTCATAAAATAGACCACATCTTTTAATATAAAGATTACAGCTTTCTAATGTTTAATTATTCCTTTGTTATGAAAAGTAAAGGCTCAGAATTTTTAAAAAATCAGCTTCAAAATCTGTGGATCTGAGACGTGTTTAGGCAGCATTTGTTTAAAACATTCTGGCCCCTTTATCATGGAATTCTTTGGAAGTTTGGACATGGGGAAATAAACCAGCTGTGCTGATGCCTCCCGTGCATGTTACTCTGTATCTTTCTTGCTTGTTACACTCAGCTAGGGCTAAACTTTAAACATTATCTTTAAACAAAACAGTTTGTTTCTGGGGTGACTCCCAAGTAGTAGCTATCTGATTGTGGCTAAGTTGTTTTAGCAATGGGAGCCAAAATGAAGAAATGGAATTTTGTGATGATACAAGCTTTGGCAGCTTTCCAGAGCAAAACAAAGCAGATTGAGCTTTACAGGCCTTTTGGTGGAATGCAAGATTGTTCAATCACTGGAACATCACAAAGATTCATGTCACATTTGTCTTCCATTCGGCAGTTTTCATTGTCTACTTACAGCCAGTAGAGAGCCATCCTTTCTCAAGGTTTTAACAATGAAAAGTACAAAAGATCTTGTCAGTGGTGAATCCTGTTACATGAAAAGCAATGTTAATGTTTCATTTCTGTTCTTGGGGGAAATCTGCATTTTCATAAAGTTTTCAGGGCCTTACATTACTAATTTAAGAGACCCAGTGTTCTAGAAATCATAGTTTTTTAAACTAGCCTTCAGTTTTTTAACATCAGACTAATACTTCAGGTTTAACCCAGGGTCAGTAAAGCATGATAGAGAAAATATCTGAAGACTTGTAAAATCTTGAACAAATTTTAGCAAAGTAAAACTGTTGAGTGCTCTAAGTTTTTTTACTGCAATCTTAAAATGACTGACTTGTGCCTGTGCTGTTGTGTGTGTGGTTTTTTTAAAATTTATTTTCCCCCAACCTGGTCTTTAGAATCTTGGAAGGAGACCAGAAAACCAAGCAGAAAGAATCACTGAAGGACAGATGTCTCAGCAAGCATTATTTTTCCTCAATTCTGATGATGATGGACAGGTGCCTGCTGTGCCTGCTAGACTACCAGTGCTTCAATATGGCAACCCGTATACAACCCAGGGAACAAGAGGTTGGAAAATATTTTCCTCAGCTTTGTTTGTTGAAAAATTCCACAGAGAAATATATCATTATATTCATTTTCTCAAACAAAACCAGTGGTGTATAATCCTAGTTCATAAATTAATGTTTACAGAAAAAGAACAGGCAGAGTAACTGTTTTGTGAACTTTTCACAAGCAGGTCATCGAAGTTGATTGTTTAACTGAGTAAGCGCCTGATGGAGTTTCTGCTTGAATACTTGGAATATTCACCTTTCCATCAGCAAAATCTCCTGATTGTGATTGCAGATGGGGCAGATGGTGCTTTTTACCCTGATGAGATCCAGAGACCGCCTGTACGAGGACCTTCTTGGGAAATAGAGGACAACGTAGTGTGCAGTCAGCCTGCTCGCAACCTCAGTCGGCCTGATGGTTTAGAAGACCCCGAGGATAGCAATGTAAGTGGCTGGTATCTGCATACAATAACATTTTCCATTTCTTAAACTTTAAGGTGCAAGCTTTACTCTGTGTCATCTTCATCTAGAAAACTTTCTTCCGGGGCAGCTTTAGTATTAGTCTGTGGGGCGCCTTCTAGCAATGACTGGCTTGTAGCCAGTGACCTCAAGCACACTGTGGACATGTGAGGTCCAATCAGATGATTTGTGCTGGGAAACCAGAGGCAGAAGCTGGACCAGGATCAGAAACTCTGTGCAGGCATCTATTGCAAGTGCAATATCTCGTTGATTAGAGATAAATGCATGGAAGCAACTGTGGCTGAATTCATGCTGCTCCTGTACACGTTTGAGAAATAGAAAGGCAGCTCTAAATCCACATGTCAGGTTTCTGATATATGAACAACAACTTTTAAATGCACTTGATTTCTGAATCTGAAGGCTGTTCAGGACTGTTGATCTGCAGCTGTACATGTGATTTCAGTGTACAGTGTGTACAGTGTGTACTTGGTGTACATGTGATTTCAGTCTGCGTTTAAAGCAGAAAAAATCTTGGGACACCTTAAAACCAAATAGTATTTAACTGAAGTTTCCGTGGACTATAATCTGTTAGGAGTTTGGAATAATTGGGAATTTTTTCCTTTAGCCACAAATACAGAAACTTCATTCAAACCAGAAAAGGCATAGAGGTTGCATGTCAGTAGCAGTGCTCTTCAAGCAGAAGAAGGCAGCTCATTTTAATTTTAATTTTAGAAGATACTGTTTACCAAGAGAGAGAGAGATACATTTACAGATATTAAGGTGTCTCTGTGGAATATGCTCGCTTTCAAATATTTCCAGATATCTGTAATGTTAAAATGCTGTTGTATATTTTTAAGGATTTACTATCCTAAATGGTGGATGTAGACTCTTGTTGCCCATGTAATGTGTAACAAATGTAAAACTGTAATAAGGAATTGGAGTATGCAGTAAAATACAGCGAGCAGTGCTATAAACTGTGCCATAGTTTCTTTGCACCCTTTAACTTTAAGAAACATTTTAATAAGAAACATTCCTCTATAAAGCCTTGTGCTCTTTGCAAGTGTAGTGGTATCATGACCTGCTTCTCATTTAGTCTAGTTTGCCACATTTAATTGCTATTAACCTTTGCAGAAACTGATCAGTGTTCAGACAGGCATGATTTTAGCCCTGGTGCTCAGTACCTATAATGGAGAAAAATGTATCTCTTCCTCCTGCCTTTTGCCCTCTGCGTCCATTACTGTGAATAATTAGGGAAACTGTCAGAACTTCTGCAGCCTATTTTAAGGTCTTGAGTGTGAGCTCAGTGCATTTGTCTACCTTTACTTCACATTTTGCATATTTAATCTGATCGTTCTTGGCACAGACATTACAGATGACAAGCCCTTCTCCTCTTTACTCATCTGCTGCAGTTTATAATTAGTGGAGTGTTCTTTCTAATCTATGTGCTTTGCCCTCTCGCAAACCCAAGAGAAACAGAGCTAAAGTCTTGTGCTCATTTGCTGACACAGCTTAGATTTTCATAATGAGGTAGCAGGATCCTAATCTGCTCAAATGGAAACCAACTTTGGGCAAGTCTGTTGCTGTTTTTCAGAAATCCTTTCTTGTCTTACGTCAAGCAGACGTTTTAACATGTTCTCTTCATAGTCATACTTGTCAAATGAAAATAACTCAATTGTTCTCAGGTTAAAAAAAATTTACATATAAAGAAACAGGATGATGAATAGCTCGCACTTGTGCAAACGCTGCTATACAGCTCTCCTTGGCAGGCACCTTTAGCTTCAGCAAATAAAATCAAGATACCTCTTTAAAAGTAAGCAAAAGGAATTTGAGGAGCTTGAGATGAAGAAGCCCTTCTTGTCACATGTGCTCACATCCCGTGTAATGAGCCATCAAAAGAGATCAGATGAAATTGTTTCCTTCGTTTCAGTTTGGTGCATGGAAGTCTGGGTTTGAATGATTAGCAAAAAATTCTGTTATGTACAGTTCTCTGTAGGTGGGAAATGGGATAATTTCATTCCCAGCTCCCATGTCTGTGTTGCCATGCAAGCCTATCAATGTGTTTTTATGGAATATGAACTGTGCAAAGGGACTGTACCTGGGAATACCTGTTGAGATTGCACACCTGAGAAAGGGATGCCTTCCTTTAGTGTTGCTGCCACAGTGATAGTCCAGAGTCACTAGCCATCTTACCTGCTGTGAGATGAAGCAGTTCCATAAGCCTGGACACAGCCTCAGACACCATGCCATGGAATACATGAGGACAGAGAACTCCAGACGCCATTAAGAGTTTCTTCAAGCACATGTAAGCAACCCCCCCCCTCCAAACCTGCAAAGCTGCACATAACTCTGAGACTCCAATATTAGTTGCTTAGCAACTAATTGCTCAACCATCAGCCACCTGGCTAGGGCCATCAAGAGACAAAGGCCCTAGCCCAGATGACTCATACAGCCTTCATGATTCATCCAGGTGCCAGTCACCAGACCAAGTTTCTAGCTCTCAAACATTGACCACTCCTTAGTCCCCCTCCCCTCTTCCAGCCAGCCAGTAGTATGTTTTATGAGACGGACTAACAGAAGGTGTCAGAGGGGGTGTGTGGCCAGCCTAGCCAGCCCCCCCACACCACGTTAGAAAAGATGCTGCCCGACCACATGGTCTCTCTCTTACTCTCTCTTACCCTCTCCACGTGGTTCTGCTGGTTCAGAGCACGTGTTCACCATTTTCTATTTCTAAACCCCTCCATTCTTCCATTGAAACGTATCAACTAATGAAGACAGGTAAATATTGCCCAACCAACGAACATCCTGCTAAAGCAACTGTGTTAAGAATCTATCTTTATTTCCTAGCATATGTATAAATGTGTGTGTGTTTGTGTATTGTTTGAATGATATGATATATATCTTCCAGTAAAGAGACATTATATTTCACTACATCCAGTCTCTGTGTCCAGATACTTACAGCAAAGGTGGCACTTCTGTATACACTGGTGAGGACCCGAATTTGCCTATTGCCAATTAATAATCATAACTTTACCTATGCTAATTAATAATTTAAGGCAATTTGGCTAACATCTGCCATGTCAATTTTTTAAAAAAAGGTAAATTCTTAAGATGTAATGATATGACAGGGAGCAGCTACATGGGTCTGTCTGTTTCACATGGAGGGGGATTATTTTTACATGTGCAGAGGAATTTCAGCCTCAGCTTTAACAACCTGATTGTTGTCTACTGTCATAGCTGGGGTGGGAGAAAAGTGGCAGGTGTGCCCAATCAGCGGAGAGTGGCAATGGGCGTGGCTTTCTTCTGTCCCCTCCCAGAGCCATTTGTGGATGCCACCCACATCTGCAATAGGCTGCTCATCTTGGACCCAGCCAGTATGGTGTTTGGGGGAAGGCACTTGAAGCAGTAGGAATGCCTTGAAGCCACCCTTGTCCCCCTCCCTTGTGTGTTTTGTTTACTTTAAACAAAGCTTCCCATTCTCTGGCCTCTAGATGAATGGGGAAGAAATGTGATTAAATTCACATACACCACTGGAATAACTAGAAGATCAGAGTTGTAGAAACATTCAGTGAGGCATTCACTTGGTTGCTATGGGGGGGGGGAGTGAGGCAGTGAAGCTTTTTTAAAAATGGAGATGAAAATAACTTTCAAGTAATGGATGTGCTTATAAGTAGCTGCCAGATGTACAAAACAAAGTTAGACTAACAAAAAAAATTTGTGGGCTAGTAACTTACAATGGACTGGCTTGTAAGGCTGCTTTCAGAATACTTAAAGGAAAATCTAATTTGATAAAATTGCATTGCTAAATTTCACACAAGTCTAGTATTAACTAGCAGAGCCAGTAAGTCATGAGAGTATTCATTAGCTGATGATGTAGATATATCTGATTGTGTAGATAGAACTGAACTCTGTGGAAAGAAATCTATGCCATGAAATGTGATACCAAGCATTAGTTTCTTGGCTTGGATATCTGAAGATTAACTTGCCTCAATAGTAGCTTGCATTTCCTGGTATATATTTGAGAGTAACATGCAATAATCTTTGAATCTCCTCAGAAACATTCTGCTCTCTTGTGTGCTACAATCTGTAACTAATAAAATGTTCTAGCATGAGATAGATAAATGCTTTAGATTGCACCTACAGGGTACTGATTACAATTCACTTTTAGGAACAAAAGGGATGTTCTGATCCATTTAGAAAGTACTTGGTCCTCTGCTGAAGATGCTAGGCAGAATATTGGTTAGATTAAAGGAACTATAAAATAGAGGGAAATAGTTGCTGCAGATGCTGGTACAAGAGTTTATTTAAAACATTTTTGCCCCATATCTATGCAGCATATCTATGCAGCTATCCTGAAGGTGGAATCCAAGGAGTTCACGTGATGTTATAGCCAGTGCTTTGACATGAGGTTGGGCAACTTTTTGCACAAGCAGGACCTTATTATTTTTAATTTAGTTTTCTTTTTCATATGCAGTGCAAGATATAAAGAGGCCTTTCCATTCATGGAAAGTTACCTTCCACATGTGGAAGGGTACTTTTGGATCAAATCCAGTGTAAAGGAGAGTCTGTTGCCATATTACTCTATCACAGTACTCTAGCATGGATCCTGCAGTAAATCTCCACTGATGGAAGGGATTTCTGCCAGCAGAACAGGATTTCCTCCCCTCATACGCCCCTCCCCCTCACTGCAGCTTCAAATGATCCTGTAAGTGCTGCTTCTGCAAAGTTGGGGATTCAGTGGTCGTCAGCAGGAGGGAGGGGGGGGAATTACACTCTTTTATGTTAGTGGAAATTTTCCTCAGCACCCAACACTGTGTGCTTCATAGGGATGCATGAACTCACAGGCATATGTCCATCTCATTATATTTGTGGGGATCAGAGAGATGTAAAATCCCTTTGCCTCTTTTTAAAATTCTTTTGTGGTGGGAGAATTATTTGTGCTGTAGTTTGGTGTAACTAAAGAACATAAGAGAAGCCATGTTGAATCAAGCCAGTAGCCCATCCAGTCTAACACTCTGTATCACACAGTGGCCCAAACCCAGGTGCCATCTGGAGGTACACCAGCAGGGCCAGAACTCCAGAAGCGCTCCCACTGTGGCTCCCCAAGCACCAAGAATACAGAGTATCACTGCCCCAGACATAGTGTTCCATCTATACGTTGTGGCTGATGGACCTCTGCTCTATATCCAATTCCCTCTTGAAGCTGTCAATGTTTGTAGCCACCACTACTTCCTGTGGCAGTGAATTCCATGTGTTAATTACTCTTTGGGTGAAGAAGTACTTTCTTTTATCTTTCCTAAGTTTACTGCTCTTTAATTTCATTGAATGCCCATAAGTTCTTGTATTGTGAACGAGGGAGAAAAGTACTTCTTTCTCTACCTTCTCTATCTCATGCATAATTTTGTAAACCTCTGTCATGTCACCTCTCAGTTGTCATTTCTACAAGCTAAAGAGTCCTAACCTTTCTTCATAGGGAAGATGTTCCATTCCAATCTCTTGGGCATTGTTCACACATACTGAGTACTAAGGGCCAGACTATACATTACAACATATGTTGAGTTCATAGCCATATTGCAACTGTGAATTCCCAATGGGGACTCCCATGAAAAAACACTGCACAGACCTGGTTCATATTGGGAAAGTGTCATGGTGGGGGAAGGCAGGAGCCCCTCACCCCTCTACACTGTGGTCCTGATCCAAAGGGCACTTTTAAATGGCATTCCCATGAGAACTTACAGCTGCATGGCAAGCTTGTGTACAAACTTTTCGTTTAGCCTTAAATACCCTTAGCTGCTGCTTAAATATGGTGGTATGAAGACTCATTCTGTATTTTTCCTCCTTGCTGTCACCCATTACAGTGGTTGAAACACCACCCATTGAAAAAGCTGTAGCATGTGAGGGCCAAGTGCATAATCTTCATATTATAGTATTCTATTACTTTGTAAGCAGAATTTTTAGCTCTGTATACCACTCTCCTTCCCATTTGACTTGAGATGCTTCCAGTTGACTTCCTGCCACAGTATCTGTTGATGGCCACCATTTGGTGATGTTTGAGTATTAGTATTCAGGGTGCTTGGTGAAGTTTGAAATCGATAATTAGGATAAATGTTCGCCTTTCCTAGGTTGTGTGGATAGTTAACAATTCTTATCCTTAAGGTGCCCCCCCCCCCAAGGACTGGTACATCTGAAGGACTGGTGATACAATTGAACCATCAAAACTACAATCATGCCTTTAAAATCCTTACGTCTTGCTGACCAATCCCTTATGGTCTCAGAAACAGTCTAAAAATGCTAGCTCTCCAGTGTAGCCTATCTTGAGCTCTTGAAATAGGCTGTCAGGCAAGCCTTGGTTGTCCATCAATTTAGTGAAACTAATCAGTGTGGTTGCTGCTATTTGTGAGTGGTTAGTGCTCTTGAAATGAGAGCTCAACTGACAGTGACAACAAACCAGCTAAATGGGGCAATTTAGGTGACAGGTTGACTTCAAAGTGACATGCTTGGCCTAGATGACTTGGAACGTTGTCATTCTATTTAGATTTCAGTTTCAGTCCCTTTATAAAATGTTGCTGTATTTGGTGAGCTGCGGTTTTATTTGGATCTAGTTTCTCTGGGTTTGCAATGAGGTGACCTCTGAGAATTTTTGATTTCTAATAATCAGAATTGGCAGTTAGAAATGTATTACTACTGCAGAAAATCGGAATTGGTGGTGGTACAGTGGCTAGAATGTTAGATTTGGACTACAGAGACTTGGATTCGGATTCTTCCTTTGCCATGGAGCTAACTTGGTGACATTGGGCCACTCACTCAGCCTGCATATCTTGTGAGTTGTTTGTGAGGTCAAAATGGAAGAGGAAACCATTTGCACAAACTTAAGTTCATTGGAGATAAGGGATGGATCTGTATTTCCAATAGGAAAAAAAAATTCCAGTAGATCTATATTTATATTTTTCCTTGCTTATAAATGTAAGTAAAAACAGCATTGAAGAGATTAAAAACAGAAATAAGGAAATATATAACAACCCATATTTTGTTTGCAGGATGATGAAGCAAATGCACCTTCTGTTCCTGATCCACCAAACCTTCGCTTACAGGAGCGTGGAACAGGTTTCTGTTTTGATTCCAGGTAAGCTGACTTCTCATAGAGCAGTGTGGCATACTCATACATTAGCCTTCTTTGTTAAATTTGAGTTCAGACACTTTTACAAACATCCACTGTGAGTGGTTGTGAAATAGTATGGGGGAGTGTCAAATGTTAAAACATTATAAGTCAAAACTTCCATTGGAAGCTCTTTGAATCCCAGGCTTTGTACTTGAAAAATTATATCCCCACCCTGAATACACTGCCATTGTGATTGCTGTAAATAATGTCTTTTGTTTGTCCCAATTGCCCTAATGAACAAATACCTGTTTACTGGCATAATTTCATCTCTCACCCATCTTTGAAAAACAGCAGTTTTCACTCAGAAAAGCAAACTTGGTTTCAGGAATAGTTTTTTCCCCATTCAGTCTGATTCTGTCTTTGTCACCCTTCTCAAACAAACACCACTCCTTAAAAAAGAAGCTGCTCCCATGTGGCCTTTATGATGGCAGGCTCTCTCAGGAGTCTCACATCTGGCTGTGCCGATGGGGGCCTATATTTAATCTAAAAGCCATATTGATCAGTTACCCAATTATTCAATTAAAAGTTGCAATCCTAATTTCTTTTACATTTTGAACCTCTTTGTTGCCCCATTAGTATGTTGCAGTGCCCATCTAGCCATTTTTTTTTAATAAGTTGAATAGTTTTCTCGCCATCTCTTATCAAATGGAAAATGCATGCTTCTTGCATAAAGGCTAAACACACTGTGGGAATACTTGAATATATGGAAAAGACCCTAACTCTGATTCTCAAAGCTTGCACCTTGTCAGTCCCATAGAAGATTGGTGTTGGCTCTGGCCTTGCTCTGATTCAAAGTATAATTTAAATGCCATTAGTAAATAAAATTTGACAGGCAATGGCATGTCAAGCTTGGGTCTCAACTTTTCATCTATCTTCAATTGTTCTTTCCTCTTTTATCTTCTAAGCTTCGTGCACATCAAGAAGTGCCCACTCTGTGAAGTGATGTTTCCTCCTAACTATGATCAGACCAAGTTTGAAGAACATGTTGAGAGTCACTGGAAGGTGTGTCCAATGTGCAATGAGCAATTCCCTCCTGACTATGACCAGCAAGGCTTTGAAAGACATGTTCAAACACACTTTGATCAGAATGTGTTAAATTTTGACTAGGTGTGGGCAGTTTAGCTTAGACAGAACTTGAATGAACGAGTTCCAAAAGCCGCTATTATAACTCAAGGTAAGCTTCTTATTTAAAGGCTACTGTCAGTAAACAAGTGCTGTGCATTGCAGTTGATTCAAAGTAAACCTTTGGCCTGTTAGCAAGTTTTGGGTCAGCCTTTTTACACCTAGCATACACCCAGATCTCTCGTGGTATCTCTCAATATTTATTCCCTTGCTAACAAAATGTAGAACAACACCGGAAACTGACAGACTTGTGCAGAAACCTCAGAAGTCCAGTTGGTAGAAATAGCAGGTGATTTTACTCTTGCTTGTGCTACTTAAGAGTATGATTAAATTTCTCATTCCATAATAAACCAAGGTTCCTCTGTAATCTTGTGTATTCTTTCATCTAATTGTTGATTCTGAGTTGCATAACTTATCAAATGGAAGTAGTTTTTACATCTATTTCAGAAATCTAGTTGCATTGAGATTTACATGCTTGCAAAACTTCTGCATAGCAATGTCCACATGAATATTATCCCTTCCTGCAAGCATCATGTGCTCTAGACATTTACCTACTATATCTTCTGCACTTGGAGCTAATACAAAATAAATGTATAAAAATGGCTACCATTTTGGCTTCATTTGTACTTGGTAGATTTTACCATGTGTAAGCAGCTTTTTTCATTCTGGCAAGTTATGTTCATAGGGACTAAGGTTTCTAGAATCTTCTGCATTCTAATTTGCCCATTCCCCCATCATATTTGTGGTGTGTATCTAAAACACTATATTTTTAGAGAGTTAATCTGTAATTTGTTCCTTTTGGATAAAATTATTCACTTTTCTGTTGTACAATAGTAAAATTAAAGACCAAACACTAAATATTGTCTGTGTGGTTTTATTACTAGGCCCCTTTGCATGTATAAAGTTCCATAAAATCATGGCTGAGATTTTCCAGAGAAGCTTTGGTCAGGGATGGCGCAGAATTGGTTCCCCTCCCATGCAAACAGGAGGGTCTTGTACTTGAACTATGGGATCTTTTGAATGTTCTGTCTTTATACTTTGCCTTGACAAACTAATTAATAAAAAATGCATTAATGGGGCTCAAATTTAAAGTTTCCTTTTCATCTGGAGTTTGGCTTTTTGATTTGTCTAACAGATTGGACCAATACAGATGTAGAGCTCCTGGTCTGAATTCAAATGTAACAGCAAACTAGTTGGATGCATGCTGAAAGGCTTGTACTCTTGTGTTATGCTTTTAATATTTCATTCTAACCTCCAAGTCAGTTTGAAGGCTAAGGAAAGAAATAGCATAGGGATATGTGGTCTGACAAGTTCAGGGGATGCACAGCCCCCTCCCGTTGCTTTGGGACTGCCTTGTCCACTGGAAGACCCCCCTCCCTGCTTTGCTGGAGCTACAACAGATACCTAACACAGATTGGCAGCATATTCTGTATGCACACATTGCAATCTGATTTTGAATATCTCAGACAGGTGGTGGTCTTATTCTCATCTCATAACCTACAAGCATCACAAGTAATGGCACCTGGTATTCTAAACCAGGTAAGAGCATGGTTAGCTCCTATAGCTTGAAAGTTATTAGGTAGCCATTCGAAATATTTTTACTGTGAGTGGTGCTAAGGTCATACCTCATATGATCCATGTTTCAGTTTTGATAATTCCTGTAATTACCAACCCTTCTACTGGAAGTGTTAGTACACATTGAATGTGGCGTATCTGCCTAATATGAATATATACTGTGTGTAAATTTTATCATCTGATGGATTAAAACTGTTGGTGGTAATCTCCACTTCTTTTGCGGTGCTACATGAAGCTGCAAGGAAGACTGAAAGATTCTATGTGACACTTAATGTTACACTATCTTATGTGATGTTCCCTTTAACCTGGCAATGCCTATCCTGCAATGTATACTTGGAAGTAGGCTGTATTCAGCAAAGATTCTGCTTCTCTCATCGCAAATCCTGCTTCACCTTAGAGGAGGTTTATTTTTCCCTCTCATTAGCTTCTAGTAGATGAAGACTGATGCTCTGTATATTTTAATTGTTGTTTTATAGATGTATGTACTGTTGAATGTCTTAATTGTTTGCTTCTTTGAGGGCCCTGATTGGGTGGAGAGGTGGGATAAAATGTTTTAAATAACTTTATTCAAAACTTCTTGTTCATGTGTGGTGCTCGTGCCTCAACATTCCTGAACAGATAGGGTATTTATGCTTTCCCCCCAAATCAAATGGTTTTTAGGATCATCATGAAAAAATAAGTACATTTTTCAGCCCAAACGGAAGTGTATTAATTAAAACTTCCCAGGGGGAAAGGGACCAATTGAAATACATTCAGGTATGTCTAGGCCTGTTAGTGAACAGGAAGTCATTTAGCCCCATGGAGTGCTAGAAGCTGCTTTTAAAACAACCAAGGGTAAGAAGGGTTTAAAGGTACGGGGGAAGAAAGAAACAGTAATTAAAGCCTCTTCAGTCAGATTTGCTGTAGAGCCGTATTGCTGTTGAACTCTCCCTGCTTCAGAGTGATTCTGAAGGAAGATTCCAAAAAAGACAGGAATGCAATGGTTTGACTAGGCCCCTTTTTTGGTTCTCTCTAAAGACAATGGCTTCCGTCAAAACATTGTGTTCTGTTAACATACAGCCTTCTGGTGCTAGGAACTGCCTTCTGGAAACTCTTTTTATGATTTTAAAACATCTTTATCCTGGCTTCCCCCCTATTTGGGCCTATAAAGCAGCAAGCATGTAAAAAACATTAAAAATTAGCTTCAAGAATATATAAAATGAAAACCAGGAATGAGGGTCAGTAAGGAGATGATAAACAAAACTTCACCTGCTGGTGGAAAGTAATCATAGAGGGGGGACAGGTACATTTTCCTGGGGAGGAAATTGTGTGTTCCAAAGGCCTTTTCTCAAATTACCACCCATCTATTTTTAAAAAATTACTATTATTCTGTCTTTGCAAGTGGGCTCAGGGCAGATCACAACAATTAAAATACAAACATAGTAATAAATCAAAATACAAGTACAAATTCATACAATGTTAAAATTCCTAAAAAAAGCAACAAATGGCAGAAAACTTCAATTTCTATTTCAGATGATGGGGGCACTCAAAGCAGGCCCCTGAAGCTGACTGTAATGATCATATGGGAGTATGGTGGTACTTCCTCTGGTGAAAGAGACATGTTCCTCCACAAATATGCTCCTTCCATGAAACTAAATGCCAACATTTGGGGGGAAAACATTTTGGCTCCCAGCACAATACAACTCTTAGCACACTGTTGCCCATTCATTATAGCTAATAGTACACTCATTAGATGATCCGCTTGCTTTATTGTTTTGCCAGTTGTGTTACTAAGCAGAGAATCTGTTATATCATTTATATAATGAGTAACATACTCTTTACAAATCAAAGGTTTGAAACAATGGAATGGCATCCAGGTTTGTCTTAGGTCAGAGGCAATTTTTATTAAGTAGGATTCAATTTACATTTATAAGCAGCTTTTATTGAAAGAAATTTTTGATGCACTTTGTGGTGCTCAGTTCTAAAACAAACCTCTTGTGACAACTTAATGAACTTTGTCCCCAACAAAATATAGGAAAAATATAATTTAAAGCACATTTTCACACACAGTACAATACATTCACTATACACAGTATAACAAAATAGTCCCATTTTTACCTGTTTAATACTGTCACAATGACTAGGTAAATCAAAGTTGGATTTTAATGGTGGAAAGGGATTGACATGCAACAATATTAATGTAGTCTGCCTGCAGCTTTTCACTGGAAGCAGAAAATGAGATCAAAATCAGAATGTTGGAAGATGGGCTTTAATTATAAGCAATAAGAGTCTTATGTCTGGATCATTCTTGATACCAATGTTGACACGTGTGCTACAAAATGTGTCTTTTGTAAGATGGATCAAGGGTGATTTGTTTAAAGGATGCTTTATTTTAAATTTCTTCAGTCCTCATTATGAGGCATTCAGTTCAGAAAAGAAAGCTTAGAGAGAATCCTTTTCCCCCCTCTATATATTTTTAAAAGAATGGAGACTTCTGCATTTCCCTGGTCAGGTATATAGGTTATATATTTATATATATAAATACAAAATACAAGAGGATTACTTGTAAAACGTAATGTTTTCTTGGGTGGGAGACTTTCCCAGTTTCTACTAATGTAACTCTTGCATATTTTGTAAACTATTAACCTTAGACTAGCACTTACACAAGAGGAGAAGACTGAAGGCAGGAGAGCATCAAATAAATGAAGCATTCAGGTATGGTCCAGACACAAGCAACTCAATGATAGTTCTGACTTCAGGTCTATCTTTTGAGTACCTGCTTCAAGAAGCACTTCATTTCAGTAAGGCTCATGATGTCTCATAGTTCAGAAAGAAACTTTTAATGCTAAACTTGTGGAATGCAACAACCTATGGTAAGTTAGAAAATATAGATATATACATACAAAAATCTGAAGGTACAATACACATAGAACTAGAAACTCCCTCAACACAAATAGTGTACCCTCCATAAAACATGCCTAGAATTTTTATTTGCAACCACTGGTATGCACTAGTACCCCAGTTGCAAGAATTGGCAACGCATAAAACATTTAAATTTGTTGGCAATAGAGAACTACAAAGTGCTTTAAGACCCCCATCTAAGATGAAGATAATTTCTTTCACACTAGATTTGCACTTCATTTCCAAGTGTCTTTTAATAGTAGATAATTGGGGAGCAATAATGGGACCACAGCAATTTGCTCCTCAGGAGTCTGGTGGGTTTTTAACATCATATAACACCTGTACACATAGAAGTAGAATTCTACCACTAGAGTGATTATTCGGATAGTTCAAATGGCAAGACATTTCAGAGGAGAAAAGAAATTGCAGGATAATATAAAATACAGCAAGCACACCATTTATGTATGTTATCTGAGTATGAAAATATTTTTAGCATATGTTAGACATTCTCTTATTTATAATTTCAATACCTAAAACCTTGCTATTCCACAGATCTCTATTACATAAGGCATATTAACCAGGTGGATAATGGGGGGATTGTTTTGGTTTTGCAAGCACATGGGAAACGGATGCACTGAACTTCTTCAACCACATTACAATCTTGAAGTTATCTCAGTGCCAAGCTTTCTTCCTCTCCCCTCCTCTTATTCATTTAACACTGAAAAACAGATAAAATATACACTATCCCCTAATTCTCTTTTTTGGGGTGGGGAGGGGTAGGAGGGATACTTTGAAGAATCTGTAGCTTTTAGCACCTGATAGCAAAGTAATGTACATGGGCATGATGATTACATGTGCAAATGTACAAAATAACTCTACGAAGATAACATCATTCCAAAATTACAGAAAAAAATGGTAAAGCATGCATTTAAATTCTTTAAGGGATTGCTGAGTGCTTCCCCAAGAGGAGGTGGCTGTCTTCAAAATCAGCAACTGCTGGTGAGGATTCCTTGGCACGTTTGTGACCAGCCAGTTATTGCTGCATCTTCCTGATAATCTCAGCAGACACTGGTGGGTGGAAATTGATTGTATGGTGCCGCAGACCCTGAGCTGTCTTGTAACTCTTTCCACAACGACATTTGAATGGCTTCCGCACACGGATCTGTGTCCTGTGGCCATTCTTGGCATGGTATTTTATACCATTAACATTCTGTGGAAAGAGGAGGGATAAATTTGAGTAAAACGGCTAAACATGGTCAGGCTGTAAAGCCTACCTTCCACAATGGCAGTGCAGTTGAGACTGTAATTATAAAATACTTAAGAAAAACAGATCAGGCACTGGGCTATTCATCTAAACAGCAATTCACAATCTAATATATTAAAGCTAACTTTACAAATCTGTAAGATTAAAGAGCATGACTTTTTTGCTGATGTTTTCTTCAGTACTCCTTTATGTTCTGTCTGTTCTCTGAGGACTTTGGATAGGGTAGGGGTGGGCCAGCAGATTATGAAGTAAAATTCAGTAATGTATAAGAGAAGCCATATAGCAATTACAATTTTTAGAAATACTACACTCAGTTGCCAGCCTGCCATGGACAGCTAAACAACAGAAAACTCATTATGGGCATGGAAGAGGAAAAGACCCATTTCCTCCTAGCATCTGTTGGATTTCAGAGTTTCTATTTTACCTCGGAGTTAGATCCTGTCTTCAGACTGGCTCCCTTTCCCACCCATTCTTACCTAGACACAAGACAGTTTCCTTGTACAAGAAACAAAGCATCCAGCTGCCTCAAAAACAAGGGGTGGGGTGGACAAAGGAGCTACAGACAAGAAAACAACAGATGACTGATTTGGAGGTGAGACAGAAATAAGTCTCTCCATGAGTTGGCAAAACAGAAAAAAAGTATTTTGTAGAAAATTGTCCTTGGGTTGTGTGCCTTTCTCTGACCAACCTCTTGCGAGCGAATAATTTCTTCACTTTCTGTTTTCATATTAATGTACAAATTATCCCACAGACAATACTCATTTATTTCTGTTGAACATGGAAAGATAGCAGAAGGAAACAGGAACACCTCACTTGGTTGGGTTCCAGCTGTTTCCATTTATTGGCTAAATACAGAGAGAATACAGCAAATGACTAGGGTTTCCTATCCCCCCCCCCCCCGAAATAATGTTTGTAGAGAGGTGGCTGCTTTGGTTTAAGGGGTTCCTCACAATCTCTATATGATGCTTGATTCCTCAGCTAGACACAGAACTTCTGTATATCTTTTATGTACAAATCCCACCTATCTAGTTGCTGACATAACAGCATCACATTTGCTGCTCTATAACTGCCTAAAGTATCATGTCAAATGAATTTCTCATGGATAGTATGACAATAGATTAATTTAAACAAAGGAAGTTATGCTCTGAACTTGCCCTAGAAAGTGCAGAGGCCAAGGCCTTGCTTACATCTGACAGCAAATGCTTCCCTATTAGGGTCTCACAGGAAATTATACTTTTTGTGAAAATAGAGATAACTTATTACAACAACACAACTTTTGTTTTTGTTTGCTATGTATTCTGCTCTTCTGCAGCAGTCGTCAGGCAGCATACATGTTTAAACAAGGTAATAAATATATAGAGTGATAAACAGCAACAGCAGCATAAAAACAATTCTAAAAGCAACGAAATTCTAAAAGCAATTACAGCAGCACTCAAAGCCTAACAACATTCAGCAGCACCCAAGTTAAAAACAGACCAAGTGAAAACAGCAACAATCTTGAAGAAACATGCCTTTCATTTGCCTTCTCTGGAATTGCTAATCGGGCATGAAATTTGAATCTATTCAGTTCTAGTCAGATCTTAGCCATCTATTATGTATATGTGTGCATTGTTAATACACAATCTGCTCATGGTAACCCCAGCAAGGGGCATTCATGGCAAGTGAGGCTTCCTTGGTGGTCCTCCATCCAAGTGCCAACCCTGTTTAGCTTCTGAGAACTGGCAGTATCGGGCTATATATCATACCACTCCAAATCTCTTGCAGCTATCTAAAGGCCAGTTATTGTCTCTGTCTCTTTTCCCATTTTGTAGAGTTAATATTTTCTTGGTTCTCCTTCAGCTGTACAGTTCTCCCATTCAACAGGCAGCACATGCCAACTCTCTCCCTCTACCCAGCAGGTGAACTGCATCAGGTGTGTATGGGGTGCTATCTGGCCAACTGATGTCTCTAGGTCAACGTAGCTTATCTCATGCTAGATTGCTTGAGGGCTGCTCTGTAGTCCCTTGCTCAACTTGAGGACTACTCTCCTGTTTCTTTACGCAGCTAAACCTGCTCTTTATCTCTGCTTCAGCCTTTCTTTAAAAGCTAGTTGAGATGCTATAGGAGTCTACTCCATTGTGCTCTGCAGAGATGGAAGTTGCAGAGGTACTATTTACTAATGGCAACTGCAGAATGTGGTTGGCAAAGGTACCCTTATTTAAGATTGTCTTACAGACAAACTTTACATTTCTCAGTGTGTTCCTCAATTTCACATTCTCAGGATAAATGCTTTGTGACTCAAAGTCTTCCAATGTCCTGTTTTGCACAATGGTGTGAAACCAGATGACCCCAGAAGTCCTACAAAGCAGGGCATGGAGGCTAAGCCCTCCCCTTGCTGTTTTGTCTCCAGTACTGGCATTCGGAGTTCACCGGTCTAAACATGGAGGTTCTCTTTACTCACCATGGCTAGTAGCCATTGATGGACTTATCATCAATGAGTTTGATTTCTCCCTTTTAAAGCCAGCTAACGTTGAGGCCATCATGGTGTCTTGCAGCAATGAATTCCACAAATTAATTACTCATTGACTGAAAAAGTAGATCTTTCCTTCCACATGTGGATTAGGATGAAATTAAGCAAATATAAGACACTGGCTTTCAAAGATGAGTCCCAAAATAATAAGCTCACCTTATATCGCTTTTTACACCCAGGTACAGGGCAAGCAAAAGGTTTTTCATCCCCTCCATTCATACACATGGAACTTAGGATAGCTTCAGAGCTGATGGCACTTTCTGTGGTCCAGGATTCATCACTGTCTGAATCTTCATAATCTACTTCTTCCTCATCATATTCGCTACCTAGGAAAGAAGAGCAGGGGAATAAAATAAGAATTAAGTTACTCTAACGGCACATTTCATGTTTATTAATACCCTCCACGTTCACTGTCTCATCTGCTCCCGTCCTGGTTCATTTGGCAGTGGACAGGGAGTTTTAATTATTATAAAAATGTTTCTCATTATAGCTGATACTTCATAAGACTGGCAGCACTACAGCAGCTACATAATTGTTGCTAATATATTACATAAACTATTTCCTATAGCTTCTTTCTAAATATTGATGGAAGGAGATAGTTTCCTGACAGACAAAGAAGTGACAGAGTGTGTGTGTTTGTGCGTGGATAACTAAACACTTTTTTAATTAATTCCCTGCTAAAACAGGTTTTTAAGGCTTTTCCTTTACACAATAAAACTCTTCAAGGGCATAATTCTTGCGATCATAAACAGTGTAAAATAATGTTGACAAGTCTTAATACATTTACTAGCCCTCTGGAATTAATACGAATTATAGCACAACATTAATAAGAATTATATTGTAGCAATTATGGCTGTGAAATTCATTCCCCCAGGTGTGAGGATAAATGGCATTGTGTGCTGCCCTAATACGGCATTCTGTTCCAGATAAACTACAGCAGTCTTCTGAGGACCACGTGGCCAGCTTTTTAATTTTATTTTTTAAAGTTGCAATAAATATTAATAAGATGCCGTGTGAGGGGCACATTAAAAAAAGGAAACCAAGAGTAGCAGAGAAGGCAGACTGGTGGTAGCTGCAGTGAGAGCACAGAACAAGAAGCAGAGAGAGACAGAAATTCACTTGTCTTAAACAGTGATACTGACACTGCTGGGTCTTTCTGCCCTTTGTGACAAGTCATACATTTTTGCTCTGACTTTAAAACTTTCAACTAATTTCAGATCAGAATCAATGGACATACTAGAAACATGTCACAAGCTCTCTAGGCACTTGGCAGGGGTAAGCAGCTGTGGCATGTGCTGAAATAACTGGCTCCCAGCAAACCAGAGCCAAACTCCACCCTCAGTGCTCACAAAAGAGGGGAGGGATTTCTACTATTCCACCTTCCTGCTGCAGACTCCATGTTGCCTCTTATGCCATTCCTGTAGGTCGCCGATTCTCAGGAGCAGCTGTTGGGTCTACAGTGTGAAGGAAAACACAGGAAATGTGTGTTCTGTGGGCTCTGTTCTTGTTGCTCCAATCCATGATTTTCACATCCAAATCTAGCTTCAGGGACATATCCTCGCCCCCATCACTTTTCTATGGAGCCATCCCCTCTTCACTTCCCTTTACAGTACTGTTATCTGTGATTTAGATTCTTGTGTGAAACAAAAGCTAACCATGGTTAACACTTAGGGTTGCCAACTCCACTTGGGGCCTGGAGTTCTCTGGAATTACAACTGATTTCCAAACTACTATGCTCAGTTTCCCTGGAGGAAATGGCAGCTACCAGGACCAAACCCTATCGCATTTCATCTACACTACACTCCCTAAACTTTGCCTTCCCTGGCTCCACCCCAAATCTCCAGGAATTTCCCAAGCCAGAGTTGGCAGAGTAAGAAGTAATCAGCTTCCTACAAAATCATAGGTTGTAATTCGTTTCAGAACATGGTTTCAGATTCTGAAGAGTCTCAGAGCGGCTTACAATCCCTTTCCCTTCCTCTCCTCACAACTGACACCCTGTGAGGTAAGTGGGGCTGAGAGGCTCTCTTGGGAACTGCCCTTGAGAGAACAGCTCTGAAAGAACTTATGACTGACCCAAGGCCACACCAGCAGCTGCATGTGGAGGAGTGAGGAATCAAACCCGGTCCTCCCAGGTTAGAGTCCGTGCTCTTAACCACTACACGAAACTGGCTCTGGTTTAAGAGATAGCTATGGTTGGTGTCAATATAGTTATATCTCTAAACAATGACAAGGGAAGGGAGGACAGAAGAGAAAAGAGCACAAGTTTTGCCCAGGACTTACAAACCATAGTTTGCATTAAACAATCTGGTGTCTCACTTTGAATATGCAAAAGAATTCCCTTGGTGAAGACTACTGATATATCCTCACTTCAAGGGATATTTCATCAAGAACTGCCCTTGATGGCTTGGAAGCTTCCACTGGTACAAAATATGGCATTCAGGCTTTTGTTTGGATACAAATTAGTTCACGATAATCTGATTAAGGCTGCACCTAAACATTTAACAAAATTTTTCACTGTTTTACCCCAATGCTAGATTTGCAACGGTTAGACGTCCCATGCACATTCTGATGTGGGTTTTTTTCATTTGGATAGAGGGATCCATTCCATATATGCATTCCTTAACACATGTCAATTGGATTCTTCCATTGTAATGAATGAGGAGATGCTTCAGGAAGGGAAAGCTCTGTGAACTTTAAGGTTTACACAGCCATAAGCAATGGCTAGATTGGCTTTTATCATGGAGAAATCATGGGATTTGCATCTTCAGCAATACATTCATACTGTAATGCCAAACAGAGGTACACCTTTCCAAGCCCACTGACTTCAATGGATTTAGAAGGCTGTAACTCTGGTTAGGATTCCACTGTTAAGAGTTGTGTTGCAAGAGAAAATCTGAAGAAACACTAGCTAGACATAGTGCAAGAGTTTAATTTTAAATTAAACAAGAGTTTAGTTGCCCAAACCTGTCTTATTTTAATTTGGGGTATTTTGCAAAGCTCACCCATCGGACACCCTTTACGCATACTCAGGCTGTAATACAAATGCACCAACATGTAAGCAAAGCTTTAGGAATATTAACAGCTATTAACATTTGAGAGGATTAATCTGGTCAGTGATTCATACCTTTTTCAAGCTCGTGTACACAAAAGACATCTACGCTTACAGAACCCGCTCTCTTGCTTACATAGGCATGGAAACTTGAGATATTTTAGCCACAGGCTTTGCTCAGTGATATGCTTTCACTCAGCTGTGTGCTTAACCAGCCTCTGTATTATTGAGATTGTGCCATTCTTTAAATGCCCACCTGTCCTGACATAGATAAACCAGGATCCATCTAATATTTGCTACATTTCCACAAATATTTACCAATATACTTGATAATTATATAGGGTTGGCCTGGAGGTCTCCCAGAATTACTAGTGATCTCCAGACTACAGAGAGACTGAATGAAATGGCTGCTTGGAGGGTGGACTGTATGGCATTATACACTGGCTGAGGTCTCTCCCTTTCCCATACCCTGGCTTCCCCAGGCTCCACCCCCAAATCTCCAAGGATTTCTCAACCTGGAGCTGGCAACCCCACAATTATATGGTAGCTATACCGGCAATAGGCCTACGTCTCATGGTAGAGTTCCACTCTCCACATCCTATCCAATATTGTTCCAGTTGCCCAGCTTATGTAGATAAAACAATTTAATTAAAAATTTTCATTTTTTTTTCCTCCCCAGAGGCGCAATACATTGCTGTATCAGGTGTACAAACAAATCTAGGTCCACCAGCTGGTGGCATGCCCACTGGTGGCAGGCTGAAGGAGCAGTTCATTTTGGCCAAAACAGACAGTTTCCATTTCTGTTCCTTTTTAAAAACAATAATAAAAGAGGAAATTAGCTCAAATGAAACTCAACTCTTAAACATTTGCCAAGTCAAATGCCACTCTGAATCAGACTTTTAAAACAGCCTGTTTGGAAGGGACTTGCCCTATGAAATTATGAAGGGCCCTTCAAGCAGACAACAGGATGTTCTGATGGCTGGAAATGCCCTCAAGAGGAATAAAACAATATTGCTGTTGGAACATCCATGGCTTTAGACATTTCTTATAATGCTTATATGGGACCAAAAGCCAAGTATGCTTCAAAAAGTCTCTGTTCAGAAAAACACACCTGCCATTTTCAACATTAAGGTTTGGATCTAGCTAGTTTTTCTGGTGGTAAAAAGGAAGAAGAGGTCCTCTGACCATAAAAAAAGGCTATGCTAAGAACCATGGGACCTAAATGTACAAAAGTCACGTGGAACTGGAAGAGTAGTATGAAGGGAAACTGGGCTGAGTGAAAAGGCTGGCATTAGTTAGTGGAAGAAGGCATATGATGATATAAAGGCACAACTACTAGAATCCATGATCAAAAACAGAATAGTCCATGATCTAAACAGCTACTTTCAGTGCTATTCTAAACAGAGTTATTCCAGTAACCCATTTATTCCAATGAGCTTCAGCCACAGTAACTCTGCATAGGAAGAAGTGTGTGTGCACACAGAAGCTCATACCCAGATTTAAAGTTTGTTGGTCTTAAAGGTGCCACTGGTCTCAAACGTAGTTCTTCTGCATAGGATTGTACATTTAGGTTCCTGAAGGGATTTGTGCTAGCTCAAATACTTTTCCCCTTAAATGAATGTTCTCCTGCCAATGCTATGTGGCAAACCGCTTTTGAAAAATACCACATCATTTGCTGTGAAGAGCAGGGAACCTCATAGGCCCCTTTGGCTCGCACAAATAGTGCCAAGGTTCTTTGGATCTGAGCCACTGGTTTCAGATCAGGGCCAGTGACAGCTAGTTCTGTATGCTGGGTCTGTTTGTCCATATCACTTCCTGCTTTGGATCACTTAACAAAGGTTCTTTCTCTACGGGAGGAGTCAAACTTCTTGCCGTTTCTCTTAACCCTGTTCTGACCAACATCTCTCCCCCCCCCACACACACACACTTTGTTCATTTTGGATGAACAGAACTGGCTTTCAAGAAGCGTGCCTACAACGGCTGTCTCACAATGAAATCAAACACTTCCTGCAATCTCAAACAATCACTCATAAAAACAAACTCAAATTCGCATTTTGTGTGGGACTTGCAGATTCATAAAAAAGTTTTATGAGAGTACTTCTTATTTTAAGACAACCAATCTATGGATATTGAAACTGCTTCCTTGAAATAAAATGTGGTAAATTAGTTTTATGGAGGTGATTTCTATATAACACTAATTTATTGATTTTCACCTCACATACACTTCCTATGTTTATTTGTTATAGATAATGAATCCATATGAGTGAAGATCAAATG